TATTGAATATCCCTTGTTATGGACTGTCTGGATGAGAATGAACACAGTTAAGTGTTTTCAAAAATGATCGCGGATTCGGACCAAAGCATCGTCAATACTGACAACGGAGAAATGGTGAAAAGTTTTGTTCTTCCAGCGAAAATTTATATCTCTAGTTGGCCTCTTCGGCGAAAGCATAATGGCAGGTTTAAGAAAGTAAACTAAGGTAGGGAGACATTTTGAACGCAGAGGGGGTAATGTTCACAGAATAGACGTTCACGTCTGCTTCACCTGGTTGACGTTTTACGGCTGCAAACACTGCTGTCAAGCTTCCTACGCCTGTAAAAGGGCTAAGAAAAGTCAAACATAATGGGAATGTTGACATAGTCATTTCGCTCTTAGCACATATTTACATAGTGTCGGAGTACACGAAAATCATATGCTAATTATAAACTTGTTGCCTACCACTTTGCCAACTAATCCATCATACAGCTGTCGCCAACACGTCAAACTTCGCTAAGTGCTATTGTCAAAGTGAATTCTATCTTTTCATCGAAAAAATAGCCTGATTCTTTTGCACTTCTTTATCTCGGCTCCTCTCACTTCTCTCTCGTCTCTGTCAGTCTTTGTCTTAAAATGCCTGGAATCTTACTATCGAGTCTCACTAATGGATAATCTTCATGTTACATTGTCTGAACACAGAAGCATGGCTTCGTGGTGAAGATAATTTTGGCTATCCTACAACCACAAAGTTCAAATGAAAGGGATGGCGATTCGCCATCAGGCACATGTCTTTTGAGCGTAACAACGCCATTAATATGCGATTACGAGTGCTGCTAGTGCTAAGATGTTGTTTCAGTTGCAATTAAATTGATTACGTGAAGAAACTTTTCACAATTGAGCTGAATAGAGCTGAAAACCAACGACAAAATGACACTTTCTCTTTGTTCACTCAACCATAAAGCCACATTTAACCACAAAAGCCTCATAGCAACACTAGTTTCTTTCTTTAGTTCAGTGTATATATATATATTTTTCTATGAATGTATTGCTTTTGAGTGAGACATTTACTTTTCGGTGCACCAGCAAATCATACGTTTTCCGTGTTCATCTGCATGTAGCCAAGTTACATAATAAAAAAGAAAACTGAAAATCTGAAAAGACATTAGTAGAACGATATTTTGAACTTTCGACTCAAAGTGTTCGTAAAAGGCCAACCGAATAATTGTCAACCTGTTGAAGAACGCGATATCGCAACTGGATGACATAAAAAAATGTCATGGGCCACATGGCGATGAGTGGATAGATTGAGAACTAGAGGCAAGGTCTGCTGGTATTCACAAATTCAACTAGCCAGGTGTTCAACGCAGAGCGCATGCGTCTCGTTAAGACACGTAGTCTAACTCTTGCGATAAGAATTTCTCAAAGCCCCTCATGATTGTAGGTACTAAGTTCCGGCGCAAAGGACTTCCACCACCCGCAACGTAACAATTTTACCGCAGCAGTTTTCCTCCGATATCATTTAGCCAATCACAAGCATGAATTTCAAATTACATGTCAACGAAAAAGACGTGCCAACGCAAACAAATTATGGTCAAGTCAACTTTCACTTGGCCTTTTTGAAAAAAAAACCTAAACTACATACTGACTGCTGCATAAATGACCACGAGAAAGAAATTTCACAGGGAAAATATTCCTGCGTCAGTTTTCTATCACATGCCGAACTGCGACTACATCATGTCATTGTCAAAGAAGTGAAGGAATGTGTCTGTAAACGACTCAGTGAATTCGGAGGGTTCATTAAACACATGATGTTCTGTTTTGATAATTATAATGCAGACGATTTATGAATATTTGTTTCGTAGTTTTTTATAGAACAGTACATGCAGGTCACTTTGAAATTACTCACGGCTTGTGTTGAACACTGCCGAGAAAAGCGAAACTCTGGATATCTGGCGCGCTGGTGAGTCGATATTTTTTCCTTCCGGACTGCCTGATCGTAGGTGCTGTCCCATGTTCACAAACCGTTATTTGACTGAAACGCATGCGCACAATTGAGCCTGAACCAGGATTTTTGATTCTGTTAACGGATGGACTCTGTTAATGAGAGTGCTGTCTCGTTGGTTAATTTAAATTTTGCTGCAAGGATGTGGTAAATATCCACCATTATTATACCTTCGATCGCAAATATGTTTTACGTGTCACGTGTCATGGGTCAAAACTCACTCTCTAGGGCGAATAGCCTGCGAGAATACCTGGTCTTTTCGGCTCTTTTTTGACTTGCCAACCGGATTTAGAAAGTCTGTTATATTTCAGGGCCTGCTCATCCTTTATTCCCGTCATCCTTAGTGGATCCAACTCGCGAGAAACCAAAACAATGGCATACCGTATGCAGCTTGCAAAACAGTCATCAGACTTGCGCATAAACGGCTACATTTGAATGTTGTGGTGCCAGAACGAACAAAGGACGTATGATCGAACTCGAGAGACAAAAGCTCGATCAAATAGACCAATTTCGATGTATTAAAATTCAGCCTAAAACAATAAACCTCAGTACGAGGCTCTGGGGAATAACTACAGAGTTTGCAGGGTTTATTCCCCAGAGCCTCATGCTGAGGTCTATTGTTTTAAGCTGAATTTTAATATATTGAAATGGGTCTATTTTTAGAAACATAAGAACGCCTCCAACACCACAGGCCGCCCAAGCTTCGGCTGTGAGATGGTCTAAGATGATGATGATTGGGTAAAAGCGGTCATGACGAAAATATAAGAGTTTGTATAGGAATAGTCAGTACGATCGCTCTTAAGAGGTAAAAATACTGTCAAGTTCTCAATAAAAAACAATACCTCACCTTATTTTGCTGAAACGAGGCCATTTTAGTGTCGTTTAGACTTGTCCACGCGTGCTGTCGTGGGGACTTATCACCTTGCGTGTGTGTGCGCGGCCTGCGAGCAACCAGTTTAGTCCAGTTTAGTCTCCCGTAAACAATAACAAGCACTTGATGACTGGCTTCAAGACAACATAGAGTTTGTTTCCCCATTTAAAGGTGACGAAAGCTGATAAGCTGAAGTAACATGGCTCAGCATGTTCGTTGTGAGGGGTCGTGAAGAATTGGTTCATGCTTAGCGTACGCACAGGCGGCTTAGGACACGGTTCAGGCGACAGTATTCGACCAATCATGTGCCGTCTTAGCAGAAGCAATGGCGGACACATTTTTCGTTGTGAGTTGACAGTAGGTTGTCGTTTCTCGATCGATTTCTGCACTCATCGTGACAATCAAACGAACCTTTTCTGGGAGCTGCTAGTGTAATTTCTGGGCCAGTTATTTGCCAAGTCTCAACTGCAGGTAAGCATTTTTTGCATCAAAACTAGTCAATGGAAATCATACTATGTTGAAAACGTTTGTTTAGCAGACGCGCTTGACATGGATGTTCTTTTGGGCGTTTTCGGGTTAACAAGGATCAGTATTGTGGATTATTTTGAAACTTGAAACTTAAGTTCGATTTAAAAGCTTTACGAAAAGTTTGAAGCTGGGGCTTTTCCTTGATTTGTAAGATTATCGCGGCATTGCGCGGGGGGGGGGGGAGTGATGGTGTGATTTCTACTTTGTGTTATCACGATAAGGGTATAATTTTGCGGCTCGGCTTGTTCCCTTTATATCTTAATGTTTTCTTGTTTTTAAAGTGGTTTTGAAAACGGCCTCTCTGCAAAAGGCCGCCATTATGTAAACAAACTTACCTCATTCCGCTGATTCCATATTAAGGCAAAAATGCCGTGGTTCTGATTGGTCGGCTAAAACACCCCAGCATTGTTCCAAACATATAAAGAGAATTCAGACGCTTCTAGGGGATATGCTGTCTGTTTACATTTAGTGGGAGGCACAGTGGCCTCATGGTTAGAGCGCTCGTCTCCGGATCGAGCGCTCCGGGTTCGAGCCCTGCCAGGGACATTGTGTTGTGTTCTTGGGCAAAACACTTTACTCTCACGGTGCTTCTCTCCACCCAGGTCTATAAATGGGTACCGTCGAAGTTAATGCTGGGGGTAACCCTGCGATGGACTAGCATCCCATCCAGGGGGGAGTAGAAATACTCCTAGTCACTTCATGCTACAGAAACCGAGATAAGCTCCGACTTGATGGGCCACTTGGCTCGTATGCAGACTTTACCTACCATTAGCTGTCATTTGCAGATAACTGAATTTTAAATAGAACTGAACAATACTTTCCATTTTCAACTTGAGGACTATTCTGACACTGATAGGCACTGATTTCTAAAATCATGGCTATCTTTTAGTTCCTAAGCAATTTTTGTGTTCGCCATGTGTGCTAAATTAGCATAAATTTGACGAGGTTTATGTTTACGAGCTGATCAGGTGCCACGCCAGAGTTCAAACTTTTTGCCGAAGGCAAAAAGCTACCTTCCCAAACAGAAGTGATTCACCTTTGACCCGAGCGCGATGCGCAAGGGATCAAGAGAGGGAACGACTAGGAGCAGAAGCGTCCTTTTCTTTTTTTCACAAAATAAGAGAGGTGTCTTGGTGCGAGGCAGGAATTCTATAGTTACGTTGTCCCTTTTCTCCCAGGTTGTCACGTGATGTACTCTCGCTCAATCAGAACAAGGAACGTTTGTAAAACTTTGAGTGCCGTGGAAAGTTACAACAACAACAGCAACACATGTTTTATTTTACCTAACAATGTTTCAATTCAAAAACTGGGTACAGTAACAGATTCTTTACTTTGCTACTAAACCACCTTTAAATCTTGGTCGAATCGAAGTAATTAACTTTTCGTCGTAAACACTTTTTGTAACCTTTTCTAATTACTTTCACATCTTAAAAGTTTTTAATATCAATGAATTAAATTTGCGAAGGATGTTAAGTTGTACTTTTAGCTGTACTTGGAGCAC